TATATATATATATATATATATATATATATATATGTGATATTTAGATATATATTTTTTTAAAGTAAATAAACGTAATTTTACTCAGAAGATTTTATGTGTGTGAGGTGTTTTTTTTTTATCTTTTCAACGCGTGAAAACTAACTTCTTAGAGACTCGTAGAGAAAAAATGTGTTTGTATTTCACAAATACCTGTCTCCGTAGGCTCTTCTTACTTTTCATCAATTCTGCAAATTAATGGCAAGTGTAAAAAAAAATAATAAAAAATTACAAAATAAATAAATTAAAAAAAACCTTTGAATTAAGACTATTAGTAGAAATGAACACTAGAGATCTAATCATTCCTAAATATCTGAACTGTGGGTTGTTGGTTTTTTTTAAATCATATTATCAACGCAACCACCCCACCTCACCCCACCCCATAACAGAATATAATTTACAAAGTTCATGATAATTTGTGTTAATTATTTTACTACTGATTAACTCGAGCCAATATTTGAATATTATAATTTAAAAACAACAGAAAATGAAGCTCACCGTAAATTAAGAACAATCAACAAGACCCAAGACCCAGACGTGAGTGACTTTGTTTTGTAATAACAATAATTGTGCATGAAACTTGGTGCGGGGGTGGGGGGTGGTGTTACTTCACTTTCCCTAACACTTCAATGTCAGAAAGGCCAAAAAATTTATTTGGTCTGTATACGTGTATTTTTTTGAGCTCCATACGCTGGTTGTATTTATTCCAATAGATTCACTTCAAAATGTTCACTCAAACATATTCAATCAAATATTTATTCCAAAATATTCATTCCAATATCACGTTCCAATCGGTTCACTCCAATATGTTCCAAATTCGGTTTTATTTCCTGCCGTGTTATTACTTAGACTATAATAGTAGTCAAGTTAATGCAATAAATTATATGATCAAAACAATGATAAAAATGCGGTGGAGATTTGAATTGGTTTAGGAAATGTGGCTGTTGCTGTTGCTGTTGCTCGCTGATCACCCGAGTGTCTAGTCTCAGGACAGAAAGGTCCAGGCAAGAGCAATAACCGTGGCATCAACCCAAGGTCCCTCCGACGGTCCAGGCAAGAGCAATAACCGTGGCATCAACCCAAGGTCCCTCCGACGGTCCAGGTAAGGGAAATAACCGTGGCATCAACCCAAGACTGTTATCTGGAGTTTTGCTCCGTATAAAACAAGGAGGGTTCTCAAACGAGTTAAATTTTGATGCTAATAGACACAATTAGATTCCACGACATTTCATCACCCGTCTGTCAATATAACTGCTATATGTCTTTGTACCCAATGTGTAGGTCAATTTTGAAACCCGTAATTAACTCATTCAAAATTATATATATATATATATATATATATATATATATATATATATTTTTATATATATATACATATATATATATATATATATATGTGCACATAGAGACAGCTGCCAACAATATATATATACACATATCTAAATATATATACATATGGGCACATAGTCACAGCTTCAAACAGATTGAACTTCACATGGGCACACAGCTGCCAACAGATTGAACTTGACATGGGCACACAGCTGCCAACAGATTGAACTTCACATGGGCACACAGCTGCCAACAGATTGAACTTTACATGGGCACACAGCTGCCAACAGATAGAACTTCACATGGGCACACAGCCACAGCTGCCAACAGATTGAACTTCACATGGGCACACAGCCACAGCTGCCAACAGATTGAACTTCACATTATTTTCTTTTAAAATTGGCTGGACAGGGGTCCTCAAAGTTTAATCAGTGCCTTAGAAAGGTTTTGGCGGCAACATCGCTGTGTTTTCAATTTTTTATTTAAATTTAGTAATTTTATTTTAAATACTATGTAATTTTGTTATAACATTCATGTCTTTCGAAATAACCATTAAGCTTATGATAAACATAGGCTGATAGACCGTACGTCCCACTTATGGGTGAACAAAGAATAGCTCCAGATTTGCCAGTGGGGGGGTGACCAAACCTGAAGAAAAACGACTAGCTTCCCGCTTCTTCCAGCACCCCCCTCCCCCATTCACCAAAAAAAATAAATAAATAAATAAAAAATACCCAGAAAAAACACGATCACCACAACCACCTACCCCAGTTGTTTTGTCTGAAAACCATCAACCCCTTGATGAAGACACACAAGTCTTATCACGGCGGCTTTTTCAAAAATGTTTTTGTTTTGTTTTTGTTATCAAACTTGAGTGCGCCTAGTCAAATCTCTTATAATGAAAGTATTGTTAGTTACCGTGACCTTAAAACTTATCTACGGTGCCAACCACTCTCCCCCCCCCCACTCCACTCATTAACGGAGAAGTCGGCAGCACAGTGGTTCTCAATATTTTACTTTACAAAATGTAAAGAAAAGAAGTATGTTTATGAATGAGTTCATCAGTGTGCGCATTTTTGCGTTTCCATTTTTGGAAAAAACCCAAATTCGTTATGGGTGCAGGTCGCAGGCAATGTTCCCTCTAAGGTTTGTTCGTTCGTGTGCAAAATCATAAAGTTGTGTGCAAATTTTTACAGCATCACTTTTTTTGTGTGCAAAATTTTACAGCCTACAGACACAAACACACACTTCAGTGGAAATGAGCTGCGCGGTACTCAAAACTGCTGCGCGGCGTCTGTGAGATTGGTGCGCGGCCGCGCAGCCACGCAGCTTAAATGGAATATTGGTCGCAGGTAGAGGGACATTCAAAAATGCACTGAAGCTTGTTTCCCTAAAGTCGTGATGCAAACGCCCATGATCAAGATGTTTATTTTCATAGGTGTGACGTAAGCGACCAAGAGTTATATATCAGATGGATGAGACTCGTTAACCTTGAACGGAAACTCCTCTACGAGAAGGCAAACTCGAAAATGAAACCCGGAGATGGACACCGGTAGGCGGTGTGCGATTGACACAATGAATGTTCCGGCAACTCCTGCGAAGCTAGTGGTACCAAGCTGTATCATCTATATATGATGTTCCCTTGGGACATGGAACTGTTAAAGACTGTAAATCTTAAGTTCATTTGGTGACGTCAAGAAATGGACATTTGGAAATTTCGACATCGCAGCTCCTCTACTCAACAGAGCTTCGAAACCGGCGCGGCGAACTGTTTGAGAAACCCTGACCTCGGGGGGGAGGGGGGGGGGCGCTGGGAGAATTATCCGGGTTTCGGTTCACCGCCAAGCTGCATAAAATAGCTCCACCAATAACTGGTTTATTTTTATCTTTATCATTTGCTGGTTCGGAAGTGGATCTTACAGCCCGCAGGTTAGTTCAGTTGTTTTGTGTGTTTGCTGTCATAACAATGCCTTGCTATATAGATCGTTTTAAACCTTTATCTTACAGACGCACCAACCATGTTTTTGCTACGCATGTGTGTTATTTCGAGTCTCGTCCTTTTTGAATGACTACGCTAATACGTGTGTGAAGCACTCCACTAAAGAGTGGCGTATGAAGGGAGCATCAAAGAAGGTAGTCCGCCTCCTGTTGAAACCTTGTGTTGTTGTTTTTTTGTTGTTTTTTTTTGCTTTGTATTTGAGCGCAGCATTTTTTTCGTAAAAGTGGGGCGGCAAAAATCTAGGCCGACCCCCGGGACGGCACGAACCTTTGACCCGCCACTGCTTTCCATGCAACGTACTTGCCTACTAGTTTGGATATCATTTCTCTCACCAACAGAAACGTTAAAAAAAACAAAAAAACAAACGAACAAACTTAACTAATAAACATTTTAAAAGCATATTACTATTTTAAGTAGGGCCTATAATTATGCAGACTTGAAAACAAACCCCGACCTCCTCATTCCCCACACCAACCCAGTATGATTCCCCGTCCTTGACGACTTTCTCTTTATTACATTATTCATCTGTGCCCAGACCTCCATGCCTCCCCCATTAAAAAGAGACACCCCCCCCCCCCTCCACTTGAAAACAAACCCCGACCTCCTCAATCCCCCCACCAACCCAGTATGATTCCCGGTCCTTGACGACTTTCTCTTTATTACATTATTCATCTGTGCCCAGACCTCCATGCCTCCCCCATTAAAAAGAGACACCCCCCCCCCCTTGCGCTGTCTGCTCCATAAATATTGCACTGAACTCGGCTGTAGGAGATGATCAGTATAAGGTCAAATTGTGGGGAATACAATGGATAGCATCGGCCAGTGTTGCAGCAACACATTGCATTGTCGTCATGTTGAAGTTTCCTCTCGTGCATGTGAAAGTTCAGGGGCGATCGTAATATGTAAACAAAGGGAGGGGGGTTGGGGTATCCCCCCCCCCTTTTTTTTTGTTATTTTTGTTGAAATACTAAATTACTAACGATTTTTAATTTTAAATAATACTACATACGTAATGTGAACTTAATAATCAAATGACACCCCCCCCCAACCCACACACATACACTTTTTCCAAACAAAAACAAAAAAAAACTTTTAAAAAAACACAAATAATTTAAAAATAAAAACACAAATACACACACACACACAACTTTCTGTTTTGTTAGTTTGCAAAAAGAAAATCCCGAGGGCGCCCATCTGGTTAGGGCGTAAGTAGACAATGTAAGGTTGTAAAAGTTCGTTAAAAAAGTAGTTGCCCAACAAAGGTTATCATGGCCAGCAGCAGAATGACTTGGTGAAAAGTCAAGTGGGGTCCTGTCAAAAGCCTCTTTGAGAATATGCATGAATGATCCTAGGGCTAGCGCAGTCAGTCAGCATGACCGAAAAGGAGTCTTTTCAAAAGGGGGGGGGGAGGGGGAAGGAGAGATGTCATTAGTAGGAGTTAACATTTATTTTATTTTAAAAACAACTTTAAAAAAAAATATGGGCCTAATAAATTTCATTTTTTTTTTTAAATCTGTTTCTAATAACAATGATAGATCTCATTTGATTCATTGAAAATGTAAAGAATTAATTTGACCGAAATTGTAATCGTTTGTTATCAATAAATCTTTATGGAATAGTGAACAATTTGTGAACTATTTTTTAACCGTAATTTTGTTTATCACTAAAAATAGTTATATTCTTGGTGAGCTCTCCAATTAGATACCATGCTGAATTGACCACGGCCCAGGGGAGAGGAGGGATATCAACTTCCACAACTCAACGTAGGGTTAGTCTAAGATGAAAATGGCTTTGCCCAATGGTCGCATCCCAGTCAATGTTTCTACTCAAACACGTAAAGGGGTGGGGACCAACTCTTATAAAAAAAATAGCGTTACTATGATAAAGCCCATCTCTCATTTCCACATGCGATGCAGGCCATGGCCTACGTCAAGTACGTACCCTCACTGCACAAACCGGTCAGCCAGGAAGAGATCCAAGCCATTTCTGACGCCCTCAAGTACGACTGCTCTCTTGACCAGGTGCAGGCCTTAACAGGTGATTTCATTGTTTTGGTGACGAGTCAAAAAAAATGATTTCAATTAACAACTGTCAAGTATCGTAACAAGCCTTTTCTTGTACTGTCAATACTTTTCTTTTGTTCGTGAAAGCGTGCTTCATCAATAAGTAAGCTTGTAATTGAGTTGGACAGATAAATAAAGTTTGGTTCATTAAAGGACCAAAAAAAAAAATTCATAATTTTTATGCAGAAGGGGAGCATTTTTTTTTGTGGTCAAAATCAAGACAGCGCCATTTTAAAATTTAAAATCAGGATATTTAAAATCGTGTTGCGCCGTAGGGGCCACAAAAAATAAACAACTATTTCTGATAACGCAGAGAGCTCATTTGCCAGTGAGGCGGTCTTTTCTTTTGTTTTACAATCGTGATATATTTCATTTTAAATTTTGTAGTGCTTGACTGTACTTTTTTTTCAGTTCAAAACAAACCATTACTAAAGGTCAATAACCCCCCCCCCCAACTAAAAAAAAAAGTATTTCCTGGTAAAAACAGAATGAATGGTCAAAAAAATTAGTTAGAATTTTAACTGTTCTTCATGGGGGGGGGGGGGGGGGGGNNNGGGGGGGGGGGGGGGGGGGGCTTTTTTAAAGACATCTTTCATAAACTACATTGTTTTATTTTTGTTTTGGTTTTTAAAGGAAAAAAAACATCCATTTCTAAAGGGTAACTACTCATTCCACCCACCCCCCTGCTTATTAGTCACGCCATTTATTTTAGATTTTTAGCCACTGTAAAATTTCCACCAAAAAAATGAAACTTTCCTAAACATCTAAGTGGGGTGGGGGTTATATGATTATTTGTAATGTAAACGTTAAAAAGACATCTAAATCCCCACTGGCATTCTGCATGTCAATTTATGCAATCAATCAAATTTTTAATGATAACCTTTATTTATTAACACAACTACACCATGGTTTCTCTCACCAGTGGGCGCTAACGATGCCCTGGGGGCTCTTTCACTGTTAGATTCACTCTGCGAGCCCGTCCCAGAGGTCAAGTTCCCGCGCACCCCTGGCTACAGGCCACAGCCAGATGACCGGGTCGGAAATGCCTGGTCAGTGGATAAAAACATGAAAACTATCACTGGAGGGTTTTGCACAGGAGAGGCTCGCAATGAAATTTAACGGACTTCATTTTAACAAAAAAGTTCCGGGTGAAAATTTCCTAAAGTTATTTTAAAATCCCAACAAAAAAAAAACAACAAATTCATAGGTTTAAGTAAATGTAGATACAACTAGCTGGATGAGCTAACAATTGGAGAATCCTGGACTGGCCGACTTCTAGAGGAAGCAGCCTGTAAACCCTAGAAAGATTTTGTTACATAATGAAGCAAAGAATTCTGGTAACCCCAAAAATATCCCTCACAAGAATAGGGAATGCTAAAGGAAGCTCGTGGTTCAGACAAGTCAGATGATTCTAAGTGTTTGATGATTGGCGTGTGAGTTAGTTGTGTGAATTGAAAAGATTTTTTTTTTTTTTGGGGATGTCCATAAGACTTGACCGTCTCTGATTCTCAGGGCTTGGAGATGTGACGTCCGAGGGGCGCCAACCGGAAAGCTTGCAGGAAAAACGTTCGTCATTAAAGACAACGCAGCCGTGGCCGGTGTTCCCATGTCTAATGGGAGCAAACTCCTGCAAGGATACATCCCAGAGTTTGATGCCACTGTTGTGTCCAGGATACTGGACGAAGGTCTGGAAACACTGAAATATTATTGCATTTTTTCCATTCATTTTTTTTTTAATCTGTAAAGAAGCCCAATTTATTTTGTTCGATTTTAAAAAAAATAAAAGAAATATAATTAATTGCCGTAACTGACCGATATCACTTTTATTTGGACTGTAATAACAGAGTGAATTCAATAACTGCTCAACCTTGATGGAGTTTTTTTTTTTTTTTAAACAGGTGGTAGAATTTTGGGCAAAGCTTCTTGTGATGATTTTTGCCTGAGTGCCATGGGCTTTTCCTCTGTGGATGGCTACGTGGTGATGCCGGAGAAACCCGACTACAGGGTTGGGGGGTCAAGCTCGGGGTCAGGTGTACTGGTGGGTAGCCGTTAGAACAAGGGCAATCGCTCTTGGTAATGTTTTAAATGAGAGTAAAAATCCTTTTCCATACAGGACATTAACAGTTCCTCTCCCAATGAAGCCCCCCTACCTCCAAATCTGAACCTGCCACTCAAGGCACAGCTGCCACTCAATGCACAGCTGCCACTCAATGCACAGCTGCCACTCAATGCACAGCTGCCACTCAATGCACAGCTGCCACTCAATGCACAGCTGCCACTCAATGCACGGCTGCCACTCAATGCACAACTGCCACTCAATGCACAGCTGCCACTCCATGCACGGCTGCCACTCAATGCACGCCTGCCACTCAATGCACAAATGCACGGCTGTCACTCAATGCACAACTGCCACTCAATGCACAGCTGCCAATCAATGCACGGCTGCCACTCAATGCACGGCTGCCACTCAATGCACGGCTGCCACTCAATGCAAGGCTGCCACTCAATGCACGGCTGCCACTCAATGCACGGCTGCCACTCAAAGCACACCTGTCACTCAATGCACAGCTGCCACTCAATGCACAGCTGCCACTCAATGCCCAGCTGCCACTCAATGCACAGCTGCCACTCAATGTACGGCTCAAACAGCATACCCCAGTAAATAAACAGAAAGAAAGTCAATTACTATTTTAAAAAACTATGTTGCAAAGGAATTACAAACAAATCTTTTACGAGTTTTTTTAAAATATTTTTTATAATGATTGAATCTTAACCTCCTATCTTTAGTGTAATGCAAGTGTTCTTAACATTTTTTTTTTTTTTTTTTTTTTTTGCACTGCACGCCCATCTGAATCTTAAAACATAGTTCCCGAACCTCTACAATAAAAAAAAATAAAATAAATAAACCTGATTTTCTGGATTTTCCCGCAACCCCTTGACTGCGCCTCCCACACCCCTTGGGCACCCCTGGTGTAATGTGATTACCTCTGATGCCCTCGTTACATGAAATTAGTTCATATTTTGCAAAAAAAAATTGTTTGACCTAAACAGGTAGCTACAGGACAAGTCGATATGGCGATAGCAGCCGACCAAGGGGGCTCGATCCGCATCCCAGCTGCCTGGACAGGAACAGTGGGTCTCAAGCCGACATATGGCCTGGTGCCATACACTGGCCTTGTATCAATAGAACCGACGGTGGACCATGTTGGACCGATAGCTAAAAATGTGGCGGATTGTGCCCTTTTCCTCGAGGTAAGCTTGAGACTGATCCTAATATTGTTTTTTTCAAAATTAATAAAAAGATAAGATAAGATAAGATTCTTTTATTGATCCAAATAAATGGAAGTGTTTTTTGATTGCATTATACATTTTCAGCACAAAAAATAAAACAATTTGAACACAAGACATTTATAATAAATTATTTCAAACAGCCATTCAGTGAGTTCTCTTAACAAAATCGGGGACTTATTAGTTCTCATTCAGATGAGTTTAATGGGAGGTCAGCATTTCTTGTACAATTATACTAAAGAGTAACTTTTTTTTTTTTAATACTAATTTTTGTTGTTGTTGATGCTATATTCAGTAAAAATATTTGTGAATTATTATAAAATTTTCATATTAAAAAAAAATGTTTATCTGTGAAAAGTTGATCAGCATATTGGTATGTCTTCTAAAGTGATTAATAGTCTTAAAACATGTATGGTTATGCAACCAGGAGAAACACGGGGATAGTCTTTTTATACAAATTAAGGTCATTGGAAATATTGAAGGAAATATTAGCTCTTGGGTAATTAAACTTCAGTGCACCAAGATGCTAATAAAACAGAGATTGGCTAAAAGTAAATAACCGTTTCAATCATAAGATTACTTAAAAAATTTCTTTTACATTAAATTATTGTTGCACGTTCTTTCTGGTAGGTTATTGGGAAAAAAACAAAGGTGATTACATTTTAAGAGCATGATAATTGTGTTGTACTGACCAGGTAATAGCCGGCAATGATGGCCTAGATGGACGACAGACTGCAAATTTGGACGTACCAGAGTACAGCAAACAGGTAAGATGTCCAAGTCGTGTTGACATTATATTCAGTTAAAAAGTTTCTTTTTTTTAAAAAAAAAAAAGGCCTACACTAAAATTAAAGATCAAACAGATAGACATTTTAAAACTAGTCTGTCCATCTCTAAATTGATATGAACGGGCAGAGGTAGGACCTATATATAGCTCTTGGCCCTTATCTTTTTATGTGAGTGGTGGTGTACTACAAGGAAGCATCTCTGAATCTACTCAAATAGAATGTGTAACTAAGTATTATAAAATTTAATACTAAGAAAAAACATCTGGTGTTGGAACCCAACAAAATAATAATATTTTCATAATTAAAGTATTCTATCAAGATATATTGAAAAGAAATTAATTGTCTCTTACTGGTAAATTTATCTAAAAACTGAAAATGCGCAAAATTATCAATTCTTTTTTTTTTTTTTTCCTTCTCACATTTTTAAAGCTTGAAGTTGGGATATTGCACAAAAAGCTTGGATTGCTTAAGGAAGGATTCGATACATGCGTGCCTGAAACTCAAGCTGCAATCAGAGAGTTTCTTAACAATGCTGCACTTGCCGGACTGGACACAGGAAATGTGTCCGTGCCACTTCATAAATACGGTAGGGTGTCTTTAAAAATAAGTATACTCCAAAAATACAAATAGTGTTTCGTTCTAGAAATAATTTGTATACCGGAAATTAGTCTGGACACCAAAATTGTGCTTTAAAGAAAAAAAATTCTAATTCAATTTTTAGAAGTTATAGATAATAGATAACTGATAATATTTTACAGGATTAGCTCTCTTGACAGGCTTTCTTTCACAGGGCTCTAACACTTGTTTCAAGCAGGGAAGTAAGTATTGATCTCATTTATTTTGGTATTATTGTCATTCAATTAATAAAGTTGTCTTTTGCCAGGGTTGAATGGTTTGCATGTCGATACAATTAAATTATCTGCATGAAAAATATTTGTCAAAATACGCCCAATGTTCAAAATAGAAAGATTGTGATTCGTTAAACGGCAAGCACTCCTCGGAGTTGTAAATTATTGTTTACTATCAACATAAAATATGTCAGTAAACCAATATTATTTTAATAAACCCATATTCATCGAATAATAATAATAATACATTTTATAAATCTTATTTTTTTGTGAATTCATAAAACAGTATAAAGTGTTTTGGACCAATTGGTTTTATTGAGATATTAAATTTGTCAGCTGCTGCCCAGTTTCTTCAAGGGTTTTACCCAACCAGCCTAGAAAAGGCTGTCCGTCAGGGCGGTCAGTGCGCAGGGGGTCTCCTGGCACCGGGCATAAAGAGCTTTACAACCATCGGAGAGCTCATTAGCCGTCGGTACGGCAACCACTACTACTGCAAGAGCAGAAACATCATTCTGGAACTAACCAGGCAATATGAGGAGGCCCTGGAGAGATGTGATGTCATCGTCATGCCGACTCTGACCCATGTGTCATCAAAGTTTACCAGCAGACGCTCCACGGAAGTGGAGACACAAACAGGTCATTTATGAACGTGAATTTGTTAACATTTATTCCAAAGGAAGTTTTGTTTATGTATAAACAGATTTCAGCCTCACTAGTTTTAGAGACACATCTATGAAATAGTAGAGAGGGAAAATCCAATGTGGCTACCTAGGACTTTCTTATTTATAATCTTTTTTTATCCAGAATATCATTGTACATGTGAATTAATCCTCCATTTTATAAACTCAGTTTATTAAAGAAACTACAATGAATTTTTACTTGATTTTTAGAAAAATCATCTAACCACTTTTCTTTGAACTTCAAGTCAGAAATTCTTCCTCCATGGTTTTGCACTACTCGTAAATTTTCCATTAGATAAACTGTGATTTAGCTACACTTTAGGTTTTAATTAGTCATAATTATAAACCTCCTGGGGATCCAAAAATGGCTTAAGAGGTTTTAAAATTTAGAATTTTTCTACCGCTCACTAACACCTTGGTGCAGAGTCAATGGTTTATCTTACCAGTAATGATGCTTGCATTAAATTTTTAAGATAACCTTAAGAAGATATGAGCCATTATATTGTTTGACCACTTATTTCAGGAGTCACAGACATTTTATAACATTTTGAGCAATAATTTTTTTAGAGCATTAAATAAGAAATCAAACTTTGCAAAGAAATGGCATGCAAAGGGGAAACAATTAGCTTCAGAGTATTTGCCCATTTTGGATACTGACTCACCAACCAAGATACTATATTTACACTATGTAATAATATGGTCATACTATTTTATTCTTTGATTGCTGGTATGCCATAATAAAAGACATGACTATCAGATGTTACTCCCAGTCTTTCTGTTCCAATAAAAATTGACGCATATTTTGTTTCATTTTTACAGCTTACTTAAAGGAAAGCACGGACCAGATTGCAAACACGGTTGTGGCAAACATGACAGGCCACCCAGCCCTGACCTTGCCACTTGGGAAACTAGGAGATGGTTCTAAAGATAGTCTGATGATTGTTGGCAAAAAGTTTGACGAGCTGACAGTCCTACAAGTGGCTAGAGCTCTAGAAAAAATTATACCAGCTAGGAATGAAGACAATTAACTGTAAGCTATTCATTTTTTCGCTTTATTCTTTTTTCATGCATGATGTTATAAACTTTACTGAATTTATTTTCTGGGGGTTTTTAATTCACTTATTCAAGACTACTGTCACAGTGAGATTTAATAAATATTTATTAACTTCTCCTGGCAAGTATTTTTTATTTTTTTATTTTCAGGTTGAACTTGTGAATAATCTAGTGTTATTCAGTGTGTAACATCTTTTTTTTAAAGTAAACACTGACTGGTCTAATTATTAAGATCTTAAGGAACAATTTTGTTGAATTGTAAGAGGCACTCATGAACTGTTTATGCACTAAAAGTTCTATATATCTTTGTGTAACCGTCAAGCACATAGAAAGAAATATGGAAATACATATATATTTTGAAGAATAAATTTTTAGAATAACTAAATGGCACCATGTTATCAATTTCCCAAACCTGTTGGGCTTTTCTTCTTATTTTATTGCCAATATCAAACTGAAACTCACAAGCTTGATTTCTTGGAAAACTGGAATAAAGAAATAAGCCTAAATTTAGCAGACACAAAATTAGACACACATAACGAAACCTAATGATTATTTAAAGACCTTGATGAGAGTTGAGAGTACAATTATATCAATTCCATTTCTGTGATGTTCAAAATAGTTTTTCTTTGGTGACAATTCGTTTGTGACACTATCTTCTCCCAAATAAAATTCAAAAGTTTATGAATAATATTTTTAGTCTTCAAAATGATCTGAAAACACAAGTGTTAAATTCTGCATCAATTTATCTTGTACTAAATGATCAATTTATGCACGATGTAGTTATCTTTAAAACTCTCTAACTGAGCAATACAATCACGCAAAAAAAAAAAAGAAAAACTGTACATAAAATAAAATGAAATTATTTAGATTAAATGCACCTAACTGAACCAAACCTAAATTTTGAACATTTTCATAACACCGATGAGTATAATCCCTGCATTTCGCAAATACCTTCTGGGATGATTGTCTACCTTATTTTCCAGTTAATGCATAATGGCTGTGTTGCTCCGGGTTGAAATGGCTAGAAAGACTTTGCCATTGTATGCTTGTAATTAGTTTTTGTAGTGTTGCGTTTGTTTTAAATGTGGTTAATTATAGATATGTTTTTTGTTGACTTTGTACCGCGCTTCGAGCCTTTGGGGATGAAGCGTGTTTTTGAAATGAACTTTATTATTATTATTATTATTTATAATAAGCATACATTTTAATTCTTGTAACATATTTGGGAAAATATTTTTTACCTCTGTTTAGGATGGGTTTTGATTTTTTTTAACTGTAAAATAAACAACACACTTTTATAAGAAAAATTTTAATGATGGTTAAAAACATTTTTGTACAATAGCTTTGACTCACATCTTTTTAAAAACAAGAGAAAAATATATTCATAATAAAGCAAATGCAAAAAATAAGAAGTTTCATTTTGGATTGATGAAAGCATGTGTGGTAGTTTCTATACATAGTGTACACAATAATGTTCACAGTAAGTGAACACCATCAGCTCTTTATTTCCATTTATGACATAAATCAAGGTATTAGTTGTTAGAAATTGTTAGACCAAAGAAAAAAATATATATATATTTAGAATGCCATAAACCCATTTTAAAAGAGCTTATATATATATATATTTAAAAAAAAAAATTCTTATTAATGATAATAAAATTGACTTTTTTTCCCATACATCATTATACCCGTTTTTAGAAGAAGATAAATGTATACCATAAAAAATATGATCTAATGTGGAATGAATAATAAGAGAAAGATTTTGTTGGGATTTATAGAAAAATGTATGAGTAAACTTATGGCACCGGTATCAATAAGAATTCACTGAAAAACACAGGGTTTAGATTTTTTTTAAAAAGGTTCTCGATAAAAAGCAATCTAAATTTTGATCATGAAAAAATTGTTTACATATTTTTTTTTAAATATTCATAATGCTCTTAATTTTAATAAGCAGGTCAATAAGTAAAACTATTCCTGATTTGGATATAATGTTAATGATTGTGCAAGTTTATAAATGCGCTGTAATGGCATACCAATTAAGGGCAACATTAGCTATCAGTTTTGTTAAAATAACAATTTGGACATATATTTGACCCATCAGACTTTTTCTTTGAAACAAAGAAGAAAAACTGACCTGCTTTATGTGGCCTAATTTTTTACCAGGGAATCTTGAGTTTTATTGCAATAAATAGGGATAATCTTCACACATTTAATACAGAATGTCCTAAAGCCTAGTGAATTGAAAAACTTTTTTTTTTTTTAAAAGGCCTAATTTCCATATAAATCCTTTTAAAAATGTTTAACTGTTTAAATTATTTTTTTTTAATAAATAAAAAATAAGTTGTAAAAGTTTCTGTTGCCTGTTCAGTACTTTGAGTGTACTATTTGGACAGTTGTAGCTTTTCATTTATTCAGGTCATAGTTAATTGGTGAAACCTCAAGCTGTTCCATCACATGTCTTACAATGTCACCACTGTCTAATACTATAGAATAGGTTCATGGCTCATCAACATTGAATGATAAATTACTCATTTGTTTAAAAATTTACCAAATGGGTAACAGACCTTTCAAATATTTTGAATCGTATGTTTGCAGGATAGAATTTTGATGAGGGGAATATGCTGATTTCAAGTGCAGGATGGCAAAAAATGATCAGCTTTTTGTAGCTTTTTCAGTTCCCAAAATTTTATACTTTAGATTTAGTCCCATTCATTATAAACAATATATTAATATATTCAAATAAAACCAAAAGGTCCCTTTTATTTACACTTAATAAAAATAATTTCTGGAAGTGCAGCATCAAGTATGAAATGAATAAATAAAAGTTTAATACTTAAACTTTGAAGCTTCAAAATAAACTGAATTAAATCCTAAAAAGAGACTATTTCATTTATGATGTAATTTTGCAAATGCTTAGTCCTCACGCAGTGAGAAAAAATATAAAATGAGCAAATGCCTATGTTAATAAAGCACAGTTAAATAACCCAAAAATAATCTCCCCCCCCAAAAAAAGAAACACATGTCAAGTATTTACAAACATTTTACAATTATCATGAAAACAAAAACATTATTTTCAACAACATCTATTGACTTGCAGCACCCACAGAGCAAAAATATGGACATCATTCACTCAAAATTCAAATGATTAAATTAATCATTGCAGCAATTTGACACCTATATTGAATTTAAAAATTATTTTAAAAAGAGTCCAGTTGACTTTGTGAAATCCTTTAAAAATTCATCAAGTTTGGATGACTTCCATGCTGACCAAATAAAAAGTTGTATAGTTAAACTGTGTTTTCTTAAAACAAATCTACTGAATTGGGGACAGAAGTGAATAATTAAAGTTTAGATGAAAGTCATGTTCCCAGTTAGGTGCATGTGCACACAAAATTATAACCCAATGCACTAAAAAAACTGTGAATGAGAGCTATTTTGTGGAGTGTTGTATACATTTAATAAAATAGTTCTGTTATGGAATATTGTAAAAATTTCATGGAAACATTAAAATTTGTCTAAATTGAAAAAAAAAAATGTTTTGACTTTGTCTACAGAGAGGGAAATATAATATCACAGGACCCTCCATTAACATTAAAAGATTATTGAAGATTTAAAATTTAATTACTTATAATTGATAAATGTGGTTTTTCATCGCACATTCAAAAACATTATTTTAAAAGGTATGAGTTAATGTGTGGTTTAAAATATGTAATTTTAAAAAAATATTTTAATTTTCTGATATTTACTAAATCTGGGGCGCTTCAAGTGTATGTTGTAAAGAGGTCCTTTCAGAAGGTTCATAAACTACCTACATAATGAGCTATGTAAAATGTTCAGAACATTCAGCTTTCGTAACAGTCCAAACAACTAAAAATAAATCTTTTACAAATGTTTGCTTTTTTTATTTAACTTTGTGGTCAGTAATTATTAAAAACAGTTCAATTTAAGCTGTTTACCCTAAAAAATGGAATGTATGAAATGAAGCAAAAAAAAAAGTTAAAATTTGGCACTTCTGTGTTTAGCACTGCCTGTTTCGAGGATATTATAAATCTAAGTTTTTCTTTGCTAACGGCAATTCACATTACTCTTGGCCAATCATTTTGTTTCCTGAATGGGCTCTGGATTAACAATAATAATGTGTTCCTTTTGAGGGCGCTCATGTATGCAGAAATAGACCCTGAAATGCAAAAAATTAAATTATTTTTAAATTTATGAAATCTTTTAAAAGGTTCATTCTTCATCCCGGCCCACGAAAGAAGAATAGAAGAAGGGTGGATATATGGGTGTGTGTGTGTGGGTTATATATAGCAGAAGATAATTCATTTCTTTACGGAAATCTAACAAAATATGGACAGCTCAACCCCAGTCTCCCGGAGCAAACCCTATTTATAATTTTGTATCCCTCCTCGAGTCATGAAGGTGGGGGTGGGGGGTGTGTGCATGCTTTCCTGGCAAATTAAATTCTGATTTGTTTTAAAAATGTTTATTTTGTGTGTGCTTTTGATAAGGTCATTTAAAATCAAAAATTAAAAAAGTGACTGCTAATTATCAGATTAAACAAATTATTTTTAATAGTAGCTCTCAGTTATCTCACATTGCCTTTGAGCCCTATATTCAACGTGAGGTATCTAATTTTCTATTGAGTTTTTAAAATAAATGTTCATACCATATTCTCGATTGTGTGTACCGCATAAAAAAATGATATTTCTTTAGAACTCACCCAAAGAGAAGAAAAGTGAGGTAACTGCATGAGGCCATGACTAGATACACTGCCCCCGGCATATAGCTTACTGTCACGGCATAAATTTTATTGAATGCTGTGGTGGACACCAGGTTACAAATTGTCTCAACGACGGCAATGCTGGAGAAAACAGCACCTGGAACAGAAATTGAAAGATTATTATTTAACAATCCTCAATCGTGCAGCTCCATGCAATAAGATCACATCTATTTCATTTCAGCATCTGGAAGTTAAAAAGACCCCTTTAACATTTTTCTTTCCTTTGTAAATTTCTCCTTATTTGATATTTCTGCCAAAAAATGTCTCTAAAAGCCACAGCATTTTTTCTTTTGATTTACTCATCATTCAAAGGAAATAATACCTTCTTCTTATCTTACGTGCATATACTTTGTTTATTTCCTGTAAAGTTCCACTCAAACGCTGTGATAATTGGTACTTTTTAAGGTAAAGTACTAAACCAAAAGAGCCATAAAGGAAAAAAACAGACAAAAGCTCCGATTTATGAATTGTGAGCACATACAGAAGCTCATATTTTAAACTCTGAGCACATACAGAAGCTCATATTTTAAACTGTGAGCACATACAGAAGCTCATATTTTAAACTCTGAGCACATACAGAAGCTCATATTTTAAACTGTGAGCACATACAGAAGCTCATATTTTAAACTGTGAGCACATACAGAAGCTCATATTTTAAACTCTGAGCACATACAGAAGCTCATATTTTAAACTGTGAGCACATACAGAAGCTCATATTTTAAAGTGTGAGCTCATACAGAAGCTCATATTTTTTTTTACTTAACGAGTTTTTCCAGCTTTATATATGAGGGCAGACCATTAAAAATAATTTATCTATAGAGTTTCAACCACTCATTACCTTGTTGGTCTGGTCCAGCTAACACAGACATCATTGTACGCACTATGGCAGAAAATGGAGATGTTGGGGTCAACAAAATGGGAACTGTCAATGAAAGAAATGGCATTTTCTTTGTAAAAAGTTTATGCATGAGAAATACTAATGTGAGGAAGCATAATTTATACAAACAGTTAACTGGAGCATCTCTTCTTTGTGGGGTACGTCGATGTAGGAAAAAACTAATTATTTTCTGAGAGAAACTAGTGAAATTGGTTGGTTCATATCATATCCGCTTTCATATCATTTGTGGTTGTCATGGTTTGGCTAAATAAGCATGGATTGGATGACGATAACATGAACTGAGAGAAAAGAAACAATTCCGATACAAGTATACATTGAAATTTTTTTTTTTAAACTATATCATTGGGTCTGTTTTAATCAGCCCTACTTGACTTACTTGAATCCAGTTTAGAAAGAACAAACGTGATTTTAAAACCAATCCAAATGGGAATAAGAGGTGGCAACCACGGGAAGGCCACTCTGTTTTACAAAAATTTGGACATACCCCATAGGTATCATTTAGGATGACTATTCCCTTAAGCCTAGTGACACAATCCTTACTCTCGTTTAGACCCTCTAACGTAAGGAAATTTTTTCATATCAATTTTTACTAGCAGATTCATATTTTTATGGTTACGATCATGAGTAGTCAAGCCGTTTGTCACAGTTTGACATTTCAGATTTCAAACTCCAAATGGTTTTGTTGATAATTTCAAACAACACATACAGAAACCAGCGGTGAATGAATGCGCAAATAAACTTATCTCATATAAAATAACTAACAATATAGATTTTTTTTAAAGAATTTATTTCTAAATGTATCAATGGTAAAATGTGGAGTTGTTCTCCTATGCCTGTGGGTTTCTATTGATGATATTTATATTTCTAAGTGCCCTGAGTTGCATGGGTTAAGAACTAGACATAGTTGGTTTTTTTTTAATTAAGTGCAGACTCACCAAAATAAAAATGCCACGAGACTTGTATGTAGGCTTCGAATGTGAAACCGACCCCTTGAGACAGAATGCCTATCATCCCGATCTTCTCGTCGGACATGCAGCACTGAAGAAATTTTAAAAGAAGAACGCCCAGGAACGCTGTTCCGGCCGACCGTATGGCGTTGTAATTGCCTATCTCCTTGGAGCTCCAGCAGAACGGTCTGTGGAGCTGGTACAAAGTGTCCATGGAGCCCACGTTCAAATCATTGGCAACTCCGAAAACAAACAGCAGCAGGCACAAGCAGAACGTCATACGTCTTCGGACGGTCCCGTCGAAGATGTAAAAAGATACAATCCTCCTAACGTGCGATAAAGGGTTGCGCCCCATTCCCTTTGGACGGAGATGCACCGGCAGTGTTTCTTGAAGGGTGAAGATGAGAACGAGGAATGAAATGAGCATCATGGCGACCAGGAGGAGGCATGCGTAAAAGAAGTCGACGTAATCGATGAGGTAGCCGACCGCCACATTGGCCCCAGCGCTCATGATGGTCGTGGCACAGCCGATAAAGTAGATCCAAAATGTCCGATCGTGTTTTGATGCATTCATGTCAGCTGTCAGGGCAAACAGACCGAGTAGAATCGCAAACCACGATCCCGCCAGGCCGTCGATGCCGTAAGCAATGTAGGTATAATTAAGGTCAAGGTTAAATCTGGAAAAAAATGTTGTATTTGCTAGAAATAGTTTCAAAATGAGTTAGATGAAATGGCAACAATTTCTCAAGTTGATGATAGCTTTTAGCAGTCAGTCCAGGCAAATTGACACCATTGATATACATTTATCACAGCAATTAGCTACTATCAAAAAGAAATCACAATGTAGGGGAGAGTCGGGAGAAATGGACAGGTGGGAGAAATGGACCACCCCCTTTACAGTCGAATCTATTGGACTAAAATGTTTTGGAACTAAATGAATGCACAAATTACTTCTTTTTGTGTGTGTGTGTGTGTGTTTTCTAAGCGTTTCCAGATTGAATGGTCAGCTATGAAACAAATGAATCATGAGTAAAATTTTGGCATTAAAAAATCGTGTTTTGAACACGCCTGATCAAAGCGTCTAGAAATTTAACTGGTTCATCAATAATAAAGGTAAATATCATTTAAAGTATCATATTTAGTTAGTTATAGTATTTCATATTAAATTTCATTTGCATCACGAACTTATATATATTTTTTTTAAAATTCTGCATCAACCCCCTAGTGGGGTGAAACGTGCCCAAAAAATGGGGAGAAATGTACATATGTCCATGTCTCACAACTGTTTATTTTATTTATACTTCATTCTGCAAAATCTTGAAGTAACTAAAACGTATTACTATATTGAGCATGACTATAGTTAATTAACTTTAAATAAAGATTTTGAATTATCAGTTATGATTTATTGTAGCAAAACGTAATTTTAGAAAATATTTTCCTAATATATATATGTATGTATGATTATGTACTGTAGAAATTAAATCTTCTTAATTTTTTAAAGCTTTTGTTTTAAAAAAAAAACAATTTTAATTTCCCATGGGATGAGAATGTAAAGTTCCCCATATTTTTGCCTTGCAGAAACTACACAAGAAAAACAGATAATGGTTGAATACCCTTCGAAGATATGAGAAATGCAGTTGATGCCATTAAAAGGGGAAAGTCCATGCGTGCAGCTGCTACACAATTTGGACAAGTGAGGATAACGACTCTGACATGGAAATTGACCTGATAAACAATGATGATTTAGATGACTTTATTTCAGACTGTGAAGACATGACAACTAATTGTGTGGAAATGAATGGTGTTGAAGACGTTAAGAAAGATGATTGTGTGCTGTGTGAGTATGGTGTAAAAAGGTCAGTGTTGTTTTATGTGACTGTTGTGAGGAAGAAAGTGGATGAAAATTTGGATGTGGAAGTTGAATTTTTTATGAAAAAGTGAGCAAGTGACTAGCAAATTTATAAGACCACACGTAGAAGTCATTGCCGGTGTGCCTATGTTAAAGACATAAAATGCAAACTTACAAAATTACAGAATACTGGGGCAGCTAGAATTAAAGAAGTGTTTTCGTTAAAGAAAACCTGAGTTCTTTAAATGTTAAATAAATCTGTGTTATTGTTTTGCTCAAATTACATTGTCTACATCGTTATGTTCAATAAATAGACATAAAATGTAAAATGGTTTTGCTTATCTTTTTAATTACATTACATATTGTTTGCTGCATTTCAGCTCAAGAGAGAGAAAATTAATTGAAAATAGGTACAAATATTAATTTGTTTTAACTACTTTTTAGTTAGCTGGCCATTTCTCACAACATGGTGGTCCATTTCTCCCTTCGCTATGTCCATTTCTCCCAACCTACATAGTCATCAGTTTCTTTTAAATTTCACAAAAACAATCAAATTTATCACAATGCAAATTAAGTTTTTATGTGTAAATTTGGACTGGCCATTAATATGCCAAATTTCATGGTTAAACCTTTCTATTTGTTAACACCAGCTGGATTTTTTGACCGATGTTCATTTGGTGGCCCATTTGGTGTCCCATTTGGTGTCCCATTTGGTGGCCCATTTGGTGGCCCATTTGGTGGTCCATTTGGTGGCCCATTTGGTGGCCCATTTCACCCGACTCTCCCTTAACTTTCTTTTTCAACAAAAAAAAAAAAAATTTTCTACTCCGATTTCCATTATGAAGATGAAAATTTAGAAAATAGAAATGTTGAAAAAAAATATCACTAGGTTTATAATTTAAAGGACGATATCCATGTATCCCGTATCCCTCATTTACTAATAAACTGTGAACGTTTTTTTTTTCTTTGTTTACTTACTTAATGATGCATGTGGTCAGTGCCATCCGCAAGAGATGGCTAAGAACTGGAAACATCAACAAAAGTCTGCGACCCAGGAAATCAGAGTATGAGCCAATGATCAGGCAGGTGAAAAATGCGGGTATGCACAGGGTCAAGTTTAAGTTTGTTAACAGATCAGAAGCCTACAGAAAATACATTTTGGGGCGAAATTATTCACTTAGGAAACAAATTTGGTACAGTATATTATGGTACAATATTTACAAACCAGAAGGTTTTTCCAACTACATAATTTTGTACTATTTGAATAAACTTTTGCAATCAAAATAAATAACTATTCGAAGGTAAAATCAAACCATGTAATTCATTATAAATATCTGAAAATAATAGGATATCATTAAAACTATCGGCCATATAAAATACACTTCTTAGATGTTGTTATTGATAAAGAAGGGTTTAGTAGAAACCAAAGAAGCAGAATATAATAGTTATTGACATATGCAAAGTTAAACATTTTTAAATTTAAGTCAGTGAAAAGAAATTGTAGAACGTAACATAGAGAATAAGTTGACAGCGGCAGACAAGTAAGTCTCTCCAATATTTCTTGTTCTTACCTCCGCTTGTAACTCATCAGCCTCTTTGGCTCTAGAGTCGTTGAGCTCAACATTGCACGGGGCCGTGTCTGTTTCATTGGTACCAAGGCCGCGATCGCTTGAGAGCCTCTTGACGATGTACTGTGCCATCAGTGTGTCCCTAGCGCTGCCTGCTGACCTGTGTCGAAATGGAGGAAGTAATTTGTAAAACTAACTAACTTTGGTTAATTTACTCTGCTAGGTGAATGTGGCTCTACACTGTTGTATTGCATTGGCCAAGTTTTGGGCTTAAATTAGTTTTTTTTTATTTTTTTATTACTATTATGTTTTCAGTAATGTTATTTTGATGACAAAAACAAGAAGAAAGGGGTAGGGCAACCGATTTTGTAACGAGGTTATTTAAATGTTTCTCCCTTTAAATTTATTATTTTAAAAAAAATTAATCTTCCTTTCCGTATACTACCCCCACCTCTCACAGTTCCCAATTTTTTCAAGATACAAAAAAAAAAAAAAAAAAAAANCGGAAAATGCAACTTCGCCCCCCCCCCCCCTCGGACACGCACAATTATCCTACACACGAGATCAAATAAATTGAGAGACGCGAGGCATGGACTGCTGCTTCGGCCCAGTGGAAACACCATTGATCGGAGGCCACTATTTGTAAACAATACACGCACATTATTCATTTTTATTCTTCTTGGGAGACTTACATTGTAAGAACCGGAATAACAATGGACACGATGCGGGCTCTTACAACAGAGAATTGTGGGTCGCTGTCATGGTAACTACGCTTGATGAGGGGAGTTGACTCCTCCCCATCTTCCGGTGGTGACATGACGGTTTTATTTGGCGTTGCACGTTAATCAATCATGAATTTTCTGCCTGCAGATGGAATACATTATAAAATTATTTTTTTTAAAATCATATATTAAATGAAAGTCAGTTAAATAGCATTACCGTACATGACACAATAATGGGCCACCGAAAAGAGATTTTATATTTCCATGGACGGCCGTGGCAAGCAAAAAGCTGCGCCCGGTGCAAAGCCTGCATTTCGGCGCACTTCTTCCTGAAAAGCATACATGAATGCACAATCATATTTTCCATCGTTTCCAGACTTTCATAGAGGTCAGCGTCGTAATCTCTTTCGCCACTTTGACAGACTCTTTATGTTTAAAAAAACAACAACAGCATAAAATAACGTTCAGTCGAGTTAGGAGACATCACCAACACAGACAGTCGTGAGATCAGCCACACGTGAACCGCTTTCATAATTAGCGAACAGATTTTTGCTTAACTTTAGTTGCAGCTGTAACAACTTTCTTCTAACCCTTATTTTCCTCACTACAATTTCTAGGACCCATCAAGAATATACTTAGTTGTTTATATATATATATATATATATATATATATATATATATATATATATATATAATAAAAACAAAAAACACAAACAAAAAAATAAAATTTTTGCTTAACTTTAGTTGTAGCTGTAACAACTTTCTTCTATCCCTTATTTTCCTCTCTACAATTTCTAGGACCCATCAAGAATATACTTATTTGTTTATATATATATATATATATATATATATATATATATATATATATATATATATTAATAACACAAAACAAACACAAAAGAATAAAATTAGCATTGAGTAATGCTTTCACTACAGACTACAACTTCAGAATACGACAAAGCGCATTGCATGGCACACAAAAAGAAGGAAAATAAAAAAAAACAAAATAACAACAGAACACAGTACTGGGCATTTGGAATTCCAAATTGTTCGAGTTCTGGGGCGTCCGCCCTGATTCCAAGGTATCACTGCATTAGGAGAAAATCAACCCTCTGGTCGGAACTCATGCCCGCTACGATTAATAAGCAGTGCTGACGTCGATACAGTACGGCTCTACTGTTAATTCCTACATCAACTTATCACCCGTCATTTTTCGTATTCAACAGTGCCAGGACACTGACAGCACCAAATAACAAACAACAAAAAAAAAGAGGCGTCCGACCTTTGCAGGGATTTAAATGACGGAACGTGCTTTTCCAGTCTGATGGCTTGAGCTATTTACCTGATTACGATAACGAAATCGCCCTGGAATTATAACAGTACAGTCATAGGTTGATAACAGGACAATTTTAAAAAAAACAAACACACACACACACACACATAAAAAATCACATCACTTTTTAATGTAGGCCAGATTGTCCTTCGGAAGTCTTGGCACTGATAAAACTTATTTGTATTTTCCGTTCACTCTGTCGATTAAACCTTGTTGACCTCAATGTTCAGCAATAACCTTTCATGTTAAACCCAAAAAATTTGTAAGTTGGCTATTTAAACAAAGCGATGGGCATCATGTCCATCAAATCCTGATACACGAACTTTAAATTCGAATATATTGTCCAATGACCCTTTGCACGCGTCTTGTAGTTGATCTTTTTAAAATAAAATAATCGGTTTCGGATTCCCGTTCTGCTCTCCCCCCCCCCCCCCACACACACACACATTCACTGCACAATACAACCAAAACCAATGACAACCGAGTCTCACACTGCAGCTCCTTAGAGCAATTAGAATAAATTATATTACTATTAGGGCATACTTTATATATATATATTTTCAAAACTATGTCATACTTTACATGCCATATTTTTAAAAAAGCAGGGCATATTTTATATGTTTTTTTAAAGATATGACATACTTTCCATACTTTTTAAAATAATAGGGCATACTCAATATACTTTTTAAAATATGGCATGCTTTATTTACTTTTTAAAATACGACAAATATGCATACTTTTTACAAAAATACGGCATACTTCATATACTTTTTAAAAATATGGCATACTTTATGTACTTTTTAAAATACGACAAACCTTGCATACTTTTTACAAAAATACGGCATACTTCATATACTTTTTTAAAAATATGGCATACTTTCCATACTTTAAAAGAAAAATAGGACATACTTCATATACGTTTTAAAAAGTAGGTGTACAATCGGCCGTGTTCAATAGCTATTTCACGTTTTCGCCCTGATTAATTATTTGTAAAAGCTCTAAGATGATCCTGGTCGTCCTTTTAAGGCAGTGGGAGTAGCGTGTGTCCAGGGGCGCGCAGAGGCTGAGGACACCGGGTGGCTTGGCACGCGTGGGTGCCCCCAAGGGGCGGGTATTTTTTTTTCCTCGTCCATAGCTCATTATTTCCATTCTATCAAGGCGACAAGTAGGTAGACAAGTAGGTAGACAAGTAGGTAGACAAGTAGGTAGACAAGTAGGTAGACAAGTAGGTAGACAAGTAGGTAGACAAGTAGGTAGACAAAAATATTTCGACCACATAAATATAGAAACATATCTCGACCACATAAATATAGAAACATATCTCGACCACATAAATATAGAAACATATCTCGACCACATCAAAAATAAAATGTGCAAAAAGACACAAAAAAAACAAATCAAGTATAAATTGGATAGCAAAGGTATGTAACTCCTTACCTTTCCGCTTGAACTAAACAAGTGACATTGTATAGCAAAGTTACATAACTCCTTAGCTATCCTCATCTACCAGTTATTGCTTTTTTTTCCCCCCATAAATGGATAAATTACTAAACGCATTATAGGAACATTGTGCAAAAATCCAAACATATTTTCAATGTGCATTGTTATAATAAATAAACTTCTGGGTTTAAAAACAAAAACCCACACACCATGAATTGGAGGAGAGATGCGTGCACTGTGTGAAGTGAAGAGGAAGCTAAAACAAAACTGGGGCTTGAAGCGGCAGGGTTATAAATAACTACAGGCGTGCGGCATCGTGTCCCCACTTGAATTGAAACAGGCCTAAATTTTAAATAATATTTTGATGTCTGGGTTTGTTGTTTTTTGTTGTTGTTTTTTTCAGTTGGAATAACTTAAACGAAATTATTTGATGGCAATCGGTTGGCTAGTTGGAGAACTGAAGCGTGTGTGGAACTTTCCAAGCTTCGTAACAGCACACACACACACCCACATATTCCTTATTGAGGCTTATTACCTGGACTGTTACTGTCCTTACGTAGACTGTTACTGTCCTTACGTAGACTGTTACTGTCCTTACGTAGACTGTTACTGTCCTTACGTAGACTGTTACTGTTCTTACGTAGACTGTTACTGTCCTTACGTAGACTGTTACTGTCCTTACGTAGACTGTTACTGTCCTTACGTAGACTGTTACTGTTCTTACGTAGACTGTTACTGTCCTTACGTAGACTGTTACTGTCCTTACGTAGACTGTTACTGTTCTTACGTAGACTGTTACTGTTCTTACGTAGACTGTTACTGTCCTTACGTAGACTGTTACTGTCCTTACGTAGACTGTTACTGTCCTTACGTAGACTGTTACTGTCCTTACGTAGACTGTTACTGTCCTTACGTAGACTGTTACTGTCCTTACGTAGACTGTTACTGTCCTTACGTAGACTGTTACTGTCCTTACGTAGACTGTTACTGTCCTTACGTAGACTGTTACTGTCCTTACGTAGACTGTTACTGTTCTTACGTAGACTGTTACTGTCCTTACGTAGACTGTTACTGTCCTTACGTAGACTGTTACTGTTCTTACGTAGACTGTTACTGTTCTTACGTAGACTGTTACTGTCCTTACGTAGACTGTTACTGTCCTTACGTAGACTGTTACTGTCCTTACGTAGACTGTTACTGTCCTTACGTAGACTGTTACTGTCCTTACGTAGACTGTTACTGTTCTTACGTAGACTGTTACTGTTCTTACGTAGACTGTTACTGTCCTTACGTAGACTGTTACTGTCCTTACGTAGACTGTTACTGTCCTTACGTAGACTGTTACTGTCCTTACGTAGACTGTTACTGTTCTTACGTAGACTGCTACTGTTCTTACGTAGACTTTTGCTGTTGGCTTTTCTCTTTAACCGCTCTGCTTCTGGGTACTCCACAAATTTTGACCAGTTAAGAACTTAAGCCCAGAGTAAAAGAAGACATGTTTCTGTGTCGGTTGGTTTTAAAACGTGCGAGAAGTAGACCCATTCTAGCTGCACTTACGTCAGTGACATACCATGTATATAAGAATGAAAGTCGTAGTGGGGGTTAAGTCCATTTTGACTGTTTTGAGAAAATGTTCGTGTTTCAAGTCGAGACTCAATGTTTTACTCCCATCAAGCACACACCAAGCACACACCAAGCACACTGCAAGCATACACCAAGCACACATCAAGCACGCACCAAGCACATAAAGCACGCACCAAAACACACCAAGCACACATCAAGAACATACCAAGCATACACCAAGCACAAATCAAGCACGCACCAAGCACACATCAAGCACACGTCAAGCACACACCAAGCACACATAGAGCACACACCAAGCACACACCAAGCATACATCAAGCACACACCAAGAACACATCAAACACACACCAAGCACACCTCAAGCACACACCAAGCACACACCAAGCACACACCAAGCACACACCAAGCACACACCAAGCACACACCAAGCACACACCAAGCACACACCAAGCACACACCAAGCACACACCAAGCACACACCAAGCACACACCAAGCACACACCAAGCACACATCGAGCACACATCAAGCACACGTGATATTTACGTACAATTTATAGAAATGCTGCCACTTTTCTCACGAGGCGTTTCGCAAGCCAGGTTTTGGCATAACAGAGGTAGATGTGGTACCCCATAGTACGAGTGAATACAGCAATAAACACTACAGTGTACAAGCCAGGTTTGGGCATAACAGAGGTAGATGTGGTACCCCATAGTACGAGTGAATACAGCAATAAACACTACACTGTACAAGCCAGGTTTGGGCATAACAGAGGTAGATGTGGTACCCCATAGTACGAGTGAATACAGCAATAAACACTACACTGTACAAGCCAGGTTTTGGCATAACAGAGGTAGATGTGGTACCCCATAGTACGAGTGAATACAGCAATAAACACTACACTGTACAAGCCAGGTTTGGGCATAACAGAGCTAGATGTGGTACCCCATAGTACGAGTGAATACAGCAATAAACACTACACTGTACAAGCCAGGTTTGGGTATAACAGAGGTAGATGCGGTACCCCATAGTACGAGTGAATACAGCAATAAACACTACACTGTACAAGCCAGGTTTGGGCATAACAGAGGTAGATGCGGTACCCCATAGTACGAGTGAATACAGCAATAAACACTACACTGTACAAGCCAGGTTTGGGCATAACAGAGGTAGATGTGGTACCCCATAGTACGAGTGAATACAGCAATAAACACTACACTGTACAAGCCAGGTTTGGCATAACAGAGGTAGATGCGGTACCCCATAGTACGAGTGAATACAGCAATAAACACAACACTGTACAAGCCAGGTTTGGCATAACAGAGGTAGATGCGGTACCCCATAGTACGAGTGAATACAGCAATAAACACAACACTGTACAAGCCAGGTTTGGCATAACAGAGGTAGATGTGGTACCCCATAGTACGAGTGAATACAGCAATAAACACTACACTGTACAAGCCAGGTTTGGCATAACAGAGGTAGATGTGGTACCCCATAGTACGAGTGAATACAGCAATAAACACAACACTGTACGAGCAGGTCTAAAACTTTGACTGAATACAAATGTATGTTACATTACAAAGTACGAGTGAATACAGCAATAAACACAACACTGTACGAGCACGTCTAAAACTTTGACTGAATACAAATGTATGTTACATTACAAAGTACGAGTGAATACAGCAATAAACACAACACTGTACGAGCAGGTCTAAAACTTTGACTGAATACAGATGTATGTTACATTACAAAGTACGTGTGGATACAGCAATAAACACAACACTGTACGAGCAGGTCTAAAACTTTGACTGAATACAAATGTATGTTACATTACAAAGTACGTGTGGATACAGCAATAAACACAACACTGTACGAGCAGGTCTAAAACTTTGACTGAATACAAATGTATGTTACATTACAAAGTACGTGTGGATACAGCAATAAACACAACACTGTACGAGCAGGTCTAAAACTTTGACTGAATACAAATGTATGTTACATTACAAAGTACGTGTGGATACAGCAATAAACACAACACTGTACGAGCAGGTCTAAAACTTTGACTGAATACAAATGTATGTTACATTACAAAGTACGTGTGGATACAGCAATAAACACAACACTGTACGAGCAGGTCTAAAACTTTGACTGAATACAAATGTATGTTACATTACAAAGTACGTGTGGATACAGCAATAAACACAACACTGTACGAGCAGGTCTAAAACTTTGACTGAATACAGATGTATGTTACATTACAAAGTACGTGTGGATACAGCAATAAAAGATACAGCAATAAACACAACACTGTACGAGCAGGTCTAAAACTTTGACTGAATACAGATGTATGTTACATTACAAAGTACGTGTGGATACAGCAATAAACACAACACTGTACGAGCAGGTCTAAAACGTTGACTTAATACAGATGTATGTCACATTACATAGTACGTGTGAATACAGAAATAAGTAGTACGCTTTACGAGCAGGTCTAGAATTTTTTTTAAGCAACATACCTTGGATCTAGACTTCATCCATGGGTATTACGCCATAGCTGCTTAGACACTTCAGGTCGGAATTTATGGCGCTGTGATGTCCTGCATGGTGTGTTACGATAATTCAGAATGCCCTAAAAGAAGACACAAAACAAACGTGCAAAATCCAGTAGGATCTGTGTGATCTTTGTGACGGACCAATAGTTTTTTTCCGACACACGGACAATCTCTGTAGCTGTATATGACAGACAAACCGTTTTTCTAAAAAAAAATTTGCATTTATTTCAGATAAACAAAAATCCTTTGTATGAAGGATCATTAATCCTCAGTGCGGCACACCGAAAAATCTCATCTGGTTCAGCCAACAGATCATTGAGTGTTAGACTTATCATCATAATATGAAACCGTGATTGAGAAGGGGGTCTATAACATCGAACTTATCTCAATATGTGGGGGCCCGCATGTTGAAAACAGATCCTCGTATCAGATGCTAAATTATTATATCACGCCACAAGACAGCTATTTACAAGTTTGTCTCACACAAAGTCAGAAACTAGTCCAAATTTCGCTACTAGGTCCTGACACCAGGCACAAAACGGAATATAATAACTCTGCCATGTAGCATGGCCTATCACTGAGTGTATGCTACGTTGGTTAACAAGGAAAACCAAAATTCCAATACTGTCATGTGCCTGAACTATTAAGGATGACCTATATTTTTTTCGTCCGCGTAACGGCCTTTAACCCCCCAGTTGGCCACACCCCCAGCCCCCCCCCCACCCCACTGAACCCTCCAACACTATGCGTCATCGTTTTTATAACATCTCCAATCAGATGTCATAGATAGAACGTGACAAAGGAGGAGGCTTCACGGTCTGGAAAAAAACAATAGACTGGTTCTTGTTTCCTATCTATAAATAGAACGTTTGAAAAACATAAACTCAAAGGGATGGCTTTTTACAACCCTGTAATCCCAGGGTCTTCCACACATTGGTGAACGGAAGCAACTGTTTACCAAATGAGTTTGTGGGGGGGGGGGGGTGAGCCTTGTTTTTTTTAAATTTCTCCAGTTAGCAAAATACAAATTTGAAATGAAACAATTCGTGTGACTCGATATTCGAAACACATTTTTTTTTTTTTTAGCAATGTGACGTAACCACAAAGGGGGGAAAAAACTCGGTCCCGTAGTCCAGAATTCCTCCCGAATGTAGTCCACGGACCAAATAAAAAAAAAAATGATTAATAAACCTGAAAACGATCCCTGGTGCAATTTTGCAACTCCCCTCTCCGGTCCGCAAAAGCTAAAATGTTAGGAAACACTGCGCCAGGCATCTTTTTTTTCAGGTCTGCGTCAATCCTGGGGGATTGAGCTCCATTCCTCCGACAATTCAGACAGATTAGGCCCTACGTCTTTCTTTTTTTACAGCATAGCCATCGTGCCAAAAACGATTTGATTTAAATATTTAAAACTAATCATTAAAAAAATAATAATAATGACATGCCTACTAAAATTCATGATTTGAACAATCAAAAAGGTTTTATAATTTGAGTTGCTGAAAAAATATTGAGGAATTATTGATTTATTATTATTATTAGCGAAATTGTAATCTTTTGTTATCTATAACTACTATAACAGATAGTCAATGACGTTCTAAAATATTGTAACCGTAACGTTATGTCTTACTGGCAGGCCTATCTTCAAATTGAACTATCAAATGTAAACATCAATATCACAACCCACAGAAATAACAAGGAATGGAAAGAAGTGTGTGGGGAGGTGAGGGGGGAGATTCCACCACCCAGGGGTGTATACGCCCCTGTTCCTACTCCAACGCTCGGTTATCTAACAGTAAACACCTCTGATCCCTTCGGTATGTCGGAAAAAAAAGAAGAAAAAAAATACTCAAAGTTCGGATGTAGGTTCATTCCCTTGTTTTAGTCTCAATGGGTATGAGCGATAGTCGCATGACCTAGAAGTGGTCATGTGAGTCCATTATCTTAACTATGCCCTTCTAGGTGCAGCTGTACTCTGTACTGCCGTCTCTAGGTTACGTCAGACTCCGAGTCACATTGCTAGGTAAGGCTAAGTGGTAAAAACGCGTTTTCCACCTGGTTACCAAACTATAAAGGTAATATTTGAAGTATAATTTAACAAACGATTTGTTACCAGAAAGATATAAGTCCTCATCGTAAACTGAAATGATGTCACTATAAAGTAATGTGCTGCACGGCAGCTGCGAATAACACAGCGAGAACGTTAGCTAAACGAGAATGACGCAGCCTCAAACGCAAGTGTGTTAGTAAATAATGCGGTCATGTGACCTACAAACGAATCAATGAGTAAAGGAGGGCGAAAAAAAAATAAGAATCTTTTCCTCGTTTTTTTTTTTTCAAGGGAAGCTACCCTTGTATTTCTAATTAAAAAGTATCACCCTTTATATAGAGTTGTCCTAAATATATATATATATATTTATATATTAATTTTAAAATTCAAAGGAAATAATGACAAAATGGCAATCGGTTTAATATTTTTTTTTAAAAATACTCCTCATTAAAAAAAGAATAATTGCATTGACTTTAATAATAATTTTTTTAAAGTTTTTTTTTTCTTTTGCAGGGCGTAACCCCGCCCCCTCCACAACCAAACCCCAGGGGGTACGCGTGCCACCACCTTGGGAAACACTGATCTAAAACATAGCTTAAACGTTTTATCTTCAAGTGCACGTGACCCCGATTCTAACCGATACACAGCCAGTCTTGACAAGGAAATTCATTTCTCCGATGCTTAATTTTAGTGAATTATTCCTTTAGATTGAGTCATTCATCCCGTCAGACAAGGAAACGATTTCTTTCTTCAAGCAAACTACCCCCCCCCAACCACCCCCCCTTCCCTCCCCCCAAATCTGATGATATTAACAATTACATGTTGCATCCCACACGCTCAGTGTCGCATTAACATTTTGAAAGGTTGATTTGGGGCTTAAGCAAACTACCCCCCCCCCAACCACCCCCCCTTCCCTCCCCCCAAATCTGATGATATTAACAATTACATGTTGCATCCCACACGCTCAGTGTCGCATTAACATTTTGAAAGGTTGATTTGGGGCTTGAAATATATTTTTTTTCAACAGTTGAGTGGATACAATCTTGGCCGATGACTTAAAATTTTATAAGCCTATCTATTATTGGATAGCAAAAGGAACTGGTATCCGGAAAGATAGGCACGTGGGAAAGAATATATTTTTAAAGTATTATCTGCTTTAAGTTGACTGAACCCCCAACTCTCCTACCCTTCCCACCCTTCCCATCACCCACAACATACATCCCATTCCGACCCCTTCTGACCACCACATCCTCTCAGCTTAATCCTAACCACCCTATTCCCCCCACCCTCAACCTATGCATCATCATCATATTCTGGGCCATACTGTCCCATCCTCCCCACCCCATCCTCCACATTCCACCCATTCTCCGCATTCCACCGCATCGTCCTCATTCCAGCCCATCCACCACATTCCACCCCATCGTCCTGATTCCTCCCCATTCTCCACATTCCACCCCATTCTCCACATTCCACCACATTCTCCACATTCCACCGCATGCTCCCTACGCAACATTCCACCCCATTCTCAACATTCCACCGCATTCTCCACATTCCACCCCATCCTACCCGTTCGAACCCTTCTTCCCACCACATCCTCCCCACCATATCCTTCCGACCACATCCTCCTCAGCACATCATCCCCACTATGAAAGAGGGTATAGAGGCAATGGCCCCATCAGAGCTATGAAAGAGGGTATAGAGGCAATGGCCCCATCAGGGTTTTGAAATAGGGTATAGAGGCAATGACCCCATCAGGGTTTTTAAATAGGGTATAGAGGCAATGACCCCATCAGGGTTTTGAAATAGGGTATAGAGGCAATGACCCCATCAGGGTTTTTAAATAGGGTATAGAGGCAATGACCCCATATGGGCTATGAAAGATAGTACATTGACGATCTACCACACGTGCCGTTTGTGCCAGAGTCACACATTTCGGAGAATCCCCCCCTCCCCACACCCCTAAAAGTACGCCAAACTTTTAAACTAAAAAAAAAATGTTTGAACAAAATTAACTACTCATTTAAAATTTTATCTAAAACGCACTTCACCATTAAGCTATTACATTTATAAAAGTGACACCCTTTGTCAGAATACATCCAACACAGCAGAAAGTTCAACATCACTGTCAATATAAGTTTGTTTTTTATGATGCATAATTTATTATCTTTCGCCAGCCCTTTCGCTTCCCACCCGTCACATGCAATCAAGCTTTCTTAGACCCCCCTCCCCGTTTTCCCTTCTGGGGCTTTACATACTTTATGAACGACCCTTATTAAAAAAATAAAGGTTAAAAATCACAGCCCTAACCAAACCAGAAAATACATGAAATAATACGAAACAGAGAAACTCGTCTTTGTTTTATGTGTTTAATAGCTATGTTTCAAGCAGGTGGTCGGTAACATGTTCACATGTTCATTTCTTTTTTTTTTTCTTTATTGCATAGTTTCAGTCTAGTACCAGTTCGGTCTCGTTAAAGGGGATGCTACTCAGGTATCTAGCACTTTAATCAAGGATGGGTAGAGTTGTCAGTGTTTTTAATATCCCATGTTGATGTCGGTGCAGAACCGCAGGCACTCGGGCTGGCTGTCGAAGAGCTTCACGGGCGTGCAGGAGACGTAGACAAGGATCTTGACGCAAGTCCGGAGTCTGGGGTCGTAGGCGAACTTGGAGATGGCGTTGAAACCGTTGTTTTTGGTCAGGCAGTTTACTGGAGGGACTCCACACACGTCTGTTAAAATACAAGGCAGATTAATGGAGGGACTCCACACACGTCTGTTAAAATACAAGGCAGTTTACTGGAGGGACTCCACACACGTCTGTTAAAATACAAGGCAGTTTACTGGAGGGACTCCACACACGTCTGTTAAAATACAAGGCAGATTAATGGAGGGACTTCATACACGTCTGTTAAAATACAAGGCAGTTTACTGGAGGGACGCCACACACGTCTGTTAAAATACAAGGCAGTTTACTGGAGGGACTCCACACACGTCTGTTAAAATACAAGGCAGTTTACTGGAGGGACGCCACACACGTCTGTTAAAATACAAGGCAGATTAATGGAGGGACTCCACACATGTCTGTTAAAATACAAGGCAGATTAATGGAGGGACTCCACACACGTCTGTTAAAATACAAGGCAGATTAATGGAGGGACTTCACGCATGTCTGTTAAAATACAAGGCAGATTAATGGAGGGACTCCACACACGTCTGTTAAAATACAAGGCAGATTAATGGAGGGACTTCACGCATGCCTGTTAAAATACAAGGCAGATTAATGGAGAGACTTCACGCATGTCAATTAAAATACAAGGGAGATTAATGGAGGAACTTCAGTCACTCTGTAAAAAAGTTATAGCCCTTCCACCAAACTATAAAAAATATTATTTTTAAAAAAAAAACGTATTTCAACATTTCCACAAGGGGAGTAAGCGTAGATTAGCAGTGAAGGGAATGTGGCAAGGTGTTTGGAGTGAAGGGCATGAGATAAGGTGTTTGTTGTGTAGGGAATGGGACGAGGGGTTTGGAGTGAAGGGAATGTGGCAAGGTGTTTGGAGTGAAGGGAATGTGGCAAGGTGTTT